TATAAATCTTTTGATTTATTTTTATTCTTTTCTTTATATTTTTGCCTCTTTTTCAAATTACTTTTGTAATTTAGACCCTTAAACACACAATATCCGTAGATATTGGCACAGGTCTTAAAAACCTTTGCTAATATTTATAATTCATTCTCTTTACTTAAATTTAATCATTCCTCTCCCAACATCATATGCTTATAGTGATTCTCAATTCAACCCATTATCCAGAATCACTGTAACATATTTTTGGTGTCCTCTCTATAGAAATTAAAATCTCACCCCTCTTATATATTATTATTACTTTTTTTATAACTCTTTATATATTTGAAAATAATTGTGTTTTGAGTTTTCTGACCAATTATTATTTACTTGTTGAATTACCTATTAATTATCATTTAGATATACATAGAAATTCTAATTTTAATAATCAAATTCTTCTATAACACTTTTATTCTTTTTGTCATTCTCTTCAAGAAGTTTTTTCACTTCAATTTTTCATTTTTCATATTATAATTGAAAATATTGGAGCAGTTTTTTTAAATCAAATTATATATTTATTATTCAATGAATTAATTTAAATTAACTTTGAAAAAATATATCACACTCGATTTAGACAAAGAATAGTCCAATTATTAAACACTTTATTGTTTGATTGAGTAACTATTCAAGAAGAATAACTTGAATTAATAGAATACTTTTATCAATGAATTATCATACAAAACTTTTTATTACAAACCAATTCAAGAATACTTAGTCATAATAGTGAAATTAACAAATATTATTCTGAAATCAGAAACTCAGACTATTTCCAGAACAAACCATATTAGATTTAGAATCTGAAAATAACTCAAAACCAGAAAAAAATGCTAAAATAATCAAAGAAGAAAATAACAATCAAATGGCTAATGTTGATGTCTTAGTTGCAGCTCTTGGAGTCTTAATTGATAGAATGGCTGAACAAATTAATCATCCAACTAAAAAGATCATTATTCCTATTTAAAATATCGTAGAAATAATCATAATCCTACAGAATGATTAAAAACTTTAATATTGTTATCCAAGCTAATGGAATTACTGATTCAAGAAAAGTACAACTTGTTCATGGATATTTAGAAGGTGCTGCTGTCTTTTGATATGATAAAAAAAAGAAATAATGTCACTTGATTAGTAGCTTGGAATAATAATACAAATCTATCATATAGTTTTAGTCATCAATTTGCTACTCATTTCTGAATTAAAAAAAGAGTAGATCAATGACAGGATGAAATTGAAACTTTACAACAAACAGACAGTATAGAAGAATATACACAGTCAACCTCGATATAACAGACCACTCCATTCACACTGTTTGGTCCGATATATCAAGCAGTCTGGCTAATTAAGAGTTTTCATTATACCAGACTTACTATATAAAAAGAAAAAAATATGTTATATCGATTCTTATTTATTAAGTCATAATAACAAAATTAAAACTCGTCTGAAATAAAAAATTGATTGATACTAGTCTGTTTTTTTTCAGCTATACTTTTGACAATAATCTTCTTTTCTAATTTTATCAAATTATAATAAAAACTCGCGTTAATACCCCATTCAGACTGCTTGATAAATGTAATAAGAATTTTAGTACTATTTAAAGCTTCACTAATAGAAATTTCTTCCTTGCTTTTATCTTTATCATCAGGTTCGTTTTTCAATCCTTTCCCAAGTACTACATCAACAATTTCCTTTATATCAACCTCTTCATGATTAATATTATCATCAATACATATAAATTCATGCACAGAAAGTGATTTCATAATGGGCAGCCATTGAATTAGTTGATCTAATTCATGCTCTAACTGTTGAGATTCGGATTCTCAAAGATCAATAATATCAACTTCTTCTTCTTTATTAAAAGTTGATAGACCGCGTAATAATTCAGATGAAAAAGAAGGTAAAAGAATATCAGACCATGTCCAGCTATGTTTAATTATCTCTGAAGAGACAATATTCCATGCGCGACTGATATATAAAATAGCATTATAGATAGAAGTTTTTCGAAGTTCACCTTCTTGATCAATTAATTTTTCATAGGCCGCAATTTTTTTTGAACATAGAATTTTTTTGTATTGTGCCTTAATTATAAATAGTGTTAATAACAGAATAATAATAAAGCACATTAATAAAAATTACTAACCTTTAAACTATACAATATTTTTTGATCCAGAGGTTGAATAATCGAAGTAGTATTGGGAGGTAAAAAGTGAATCTGGATATTAGATAATTTGTTAATATTGTCAGCTTCATGACATTTTGCATTGTCTATCAAAAGAAGAATTTTCTGATTTGCAATATGCATCTGGAAATTAAGCCAATTAAGGTAAGATCTAAAAATAGACCTTTGCATCCACGCTTTTGTGTTCCAATAGTATCATACTGGAAGAGTGAATTTATTAATCCCTCTGAGAGCACGTGGCATTTCGTACTTGTAGATAAATAAAATCAGTAATTTTTCATCTTCTATTGCATTTGTTATTACTAGCAATAATACTTGGTCTTTTGATTTCTTCTTTCTTTTAACTGGACTATATGCTAGAGTTCGACTAGGTTCAAGCATCCAATATAATGCTGTCTCGTCACAGTTGAACATATCTTGAGGTTCGTAGTCTTTGATTATGTCTTGAAGTTGCTCACGAAACTTTGGAATCTCGTCCATATTGACACTACCAGATTCACCACATTTTTTGTAGAACTTTAGATTATTTTGTCATTTGAAATTGTTGACCCAACCTGCAAAAGCTACAAACTTATCAGAAACCTCGAATTCTTCAGCAAATAACAAGACTTTTTCCATTAACAAACTGTCATTCAAATCCAAGTCACTTCGTGCTAGTATATTTTCCACCCAAATTTTCATTGCTTTTTCAACATTTTCAAAGGTTGCTCTTCGGGCACGTTTGGATTCAGCTAAAGATGTTCCTGATTTAAATTTCAACCATTGCTCTTTTGCTTTGACGATATCAGAAATGGATTGCTTTGATATTCCATATTCAACAGCGATATCTTTTTGTTTCAATGTCTTGTCATTTGCAAGACATTCACAAATTTCTTTTTTTTGAAGTGCTGTTAATGAAACACGAACTTTTTTTGTCTTTTCAGTTAAATTAGTTGCTGCTGCTTTTCACTTATTTGAAGCTCGATTGTTTGGTATTGGAGTAAGTGAAAAGTGGGAAGAAGAAGAAAGAAAAGAAGGAGAAAGAGGAATGAGTTCATTTTCAGTAGCCATAAAAAATCGTAGTCTACAATTAGCAATATGATAATTACAATTTAATGATTGGTGAAAGCTTTAACGGAGTCCGTTATTATTATTATATTATACCAGATTCTGTTCTAGCTATTTCAGATCCGCTCTAGTTATTTCGAATCTGGTCTAACTATATCAGAATCTGTTTTATGAAAACTGTTGTATCAAACATAGAGCATTATTAGATCATTCAGCAAATTAGTCCGGATCCGCTATAAAATCAATTATTAATAAAGTCTGGTATACATATTATTGAAACTTTTCGTTCCCAAAAAAATCCGTACTAAATGAAATCCATTATATCAGTGATCTGTTATATCGAGGTTGACTATGTATAGACAAGTTCATCAATTTGCTTCATAAAATAGATTCTGAGAATGTATATCCAGAAGAATATAAAAAATGAAAAAAATGGGAAAAATAAAAAAATATCCAGTAACTTTGGGACGCGATATCTCACGAACCACAAAACCAATCTGGATGAAAATATCACTATTTGATTCACCAAGACTAGACGAATCGAATGGTGGTATTTTTGTCCAGATTGGTTTTGTGGTTTGTGATATATCACATCCCAAAGTTTCTGGATTTTTAATCAAATTTTTATCAGATTTTAATCCAGAAATTTGTTAACAAAACTTGTGATTTTCCGGAACTAAAAAACCAGATTTTTTCCTGATTTTTGTCTTTTATTTTTTTTTACAGGGTTCTTCAAGCCAGACCAAATCATATTGGCATGCAACACAATATTCCCAACTCTCACCTGCTAACCAATGATCCAAACTTCAATTCATGACAAAATACCAAAAATCAACTACAACATACTACATTAATTGAACTCTTTACTGATGGTTTCATACAAAAAATGCACTCCTCCAACATTGTCTCCGGAACTGTCTGGACAAATTGGTCTTCAACAATTTCTCTCCAACATTCCTTACTGTCCTGCACATCCACTACTGAATCTGAAACATATGCTCTTCTTACAATCACTGAACATCTTTCTCACAATTGTCATTGTACTATCTTTTTTGACTCTCAAGCAACAATCCAAGACTTTGACTACAATATCATCTATATTCTCTACGAAAACTACTTCAACATCCTAATTGGTACTTATGGCTTATCATTCATCACAATATCAACAAAAAAAACTTACACCTTAAACTTATAAAAATCAAAGGATGCTCTGGTATTCCTGGTAATGAGTTTGTCGATCAACTAGCCAAAAACGCATGCTCTTACCCCTCACTTAGTATCAATTTCAAAACAATTCCACTTCTAAAATTCTACCCTGTCTTCAACAACCAGCTCAATATTATATTCACATTTTAAAGCTTCAGGACACTACTGAACACATTCTAAAATGGCAAAACAAATTGTGCTCTATCCTGCACTCAAAGCTGGATTCAGATTCACAGTTGACTGGAAAGCAACACATTCAGTATGGCACCAGAACTCTGGCACCAATTCATTAATTGCAAATGAACAATTTTCCAATACTCGCAACTTTTTCATTAAAACCATTTACAATCTGCTTCCTATACTAGACAATCTAAAAAAATACAAATCACACTTATATTCATCAGATATCTGTAACCGCTGCTTACTACATATAAAAACTAACAATCACATTTGGACTTGCTCCAAATCTGAACTCTCCCGACTAAGGTTGCTTGCCAAAATCCCTTAGTGACTGTCTAAATTCTGTCGAAATTATAATAAACTATTAGTAAATAACCTATCGAAATTCTGACGAATTTTGAAACCTGTCGTAACTGAAATTATGTCAAAATTCTAATTAAACAATTAGTGTGTAACCCGTCGAAATTATGACGATATTTTTCTAAAAGAATTTAGGCAAGCATCCTTACTCCCGACTTCACATCTTTCAAAAAAGCAAAAAACAACTACAAAAACTCCTTACCAAAACTTGTCTCATCAATAATCTTATTCTTTCACCTCACATAGCTACCACCATCAAAAACTTCATCAATTCTGCTTACTTTTTTAATTATTCTACTTACAATTCTTACAGCATTATCGCTACACCTGAATTCATCGAAACCTTCAAAGGCTTTGTGCCTCAGGAACTCACAACTTTCTTCAAAGCTCAAAATATCTCTCACAAACACGCCTCTTACATGTTCACTCTTTTCATCACATGATTCACAAAAAAAGGAAGAAAACTTATTTGGAATTCCTGATGTACCATTCAAATCTTCATTGACAAATCTCTTTCTATTACTACAAGACAAAAAAAACAATCCACTGAAAAAAAATCTGAACGATCTCTTGGATCATCCTCTCCTGCTTCATACAATACTCTCACTAAATTGCACTCAAATCCTGATCTCTGCAAATGTAAACTTCATATTAAGTTCTCCTCCATAAACTCATGTTCCAAAGAGAATCTTATCAAACTCTGTACTGACCAAACTTTGCTTGAACTTATTATTTTACAATCTCACATAGATCATCTCATTGTACCTACTGGCTTAGTTTAGTTTTGGACAAGCCTTGGTGACTAGTCACACTGTAATTTTCGTATGAATTTTTGATGGTTCACTTTGCATTTCACTAGTCATTAAAATTATATATGTAAATTAGATTAGTAAGCAAAATGTACAAGACTATACTTTAGCAAATTTAAATAATAACAACAATAATAATTATCGATCCAACAACCAAAAACAAAATAATTTCTTGAATACTGAAGAACATTTAAACAACTAAATGCACTTCCAGAAGGTAAAGCTGCATCAACAATTAAAAAATCTTCAATCAACAAAAAGAAATTAGAACAAATAATACTTAATAATGAAAAAGAAAATAATAAAATAACAGTAGATGCTATGCATTGACTTGAAAAAGTTAAAAATCAAAAAGTTATAATTATTATTGATAGTGGAGCAGTGAGTAATATTATCAACAACTCACTATTAAAGAAAATCAATTGGAAAATACAAAGATCTAGCAATATCAATTTAGTTAGCATTAATAGAATAAAAGAAAGATCATCTAAACTTACCAGTTACACTTGGTGAAAAGAACTTAAAAATTAATGTTCTAGTTACTGAAAAAGGTGATTATGATTTATTACTTGGAAATGATTGAGCACATAAAAATCAAGCAGTAGTAGATTGGAAAACAAGAACTTTAATATTCAAGTTCAATAATGAAAAAGTTCAAATTTCAGTATCTTATCTAAATAATCAATTGGAAATAATAATTTTATTACAACAAAAGATGGAATCCAAATCAAAGTATTTACCAATAATAGAAAAGGAAAAATACTTGAAAGAGTACATGAAACTGATATTGAATTCGATATGAGATATTCAGATAAAGAAATATTGAATATACCACTAAATGATGTTACATTTATCAATACTCATGTTGCAATGAAAATATTCATTGGAAATTATTGTCAATTAAAATTCAGATTATCTTTGGCAAAAAAAATTGAAGTCAAAGCTGATATAATTGACACTGAATACACTGAAAATAATGGAATTCTATTATATAACAATTCTAATATAACACAACAAATTCAACCAAATGAAAAAATAGCTCAAGTAATATTCTTACCTTTAATCAATATTTCTAACTTGAAAGAAGTGAATACATGAAAAAAACTTAATCAAATACTAAGAGGTTAAAATGAATTTGGATCCACTAGTACTGATAAAATATTAAAAGAATATGAAGAAGAATATGAAGAAGAAAATCTAGAAGACCAACTGTTACTAAAAATTCTAGAAGAAATAAAACAACAAGTGATCTTAGATATTGAAGTGAATGAACATTATACTCAAATAAAAGATCAACAAATATATCATACTACTATAGAAAAAATGAAAAAGAATACTTTAAATAGAATAATAAATATTTACATGTAAATAATAAAGAAAATAATGAAAATTATTTATTTTGTGTTGAAGATAAAGAATTATATCAACAAATGAAATTAATACCAGAACTATTATTTCAATCAACAAATATTAAAAAAATTGATCTTATCGACAAATAGCAATAATAAATAAATGAATTATTAGCCAAATATCAAGATCTATTTGATACCAAAATACCTGGAAAGACTGATATAATTCAACATAAAATCAATCTTGAAACTATCAAACTGATAGCATTAAAACTATATTATTAAAGATCACTATTGGAAAAAGAATTTATTCAAGATAAAATTGATAAAATGCTTAGACAAGGAATTATCAAACTATCTGACAATCCTTGAATTGTACCAGTTGTAATAGTAAAAAAGAAAGGTAGAAAACTTAGATTTTGTATAGACTATTGACAATTAAACAAAGTAACTATCAAAGATCAATTTTTATTAACAAGAATTGATGACTTATTAGATATACTTGGAAAAGCTAAATACTTTTTGACATTAGATTTAGTCTCTGAATATTAACAAGTTGAGATTAAACCAGAAGATCGACCAAAAACAGCTTTCATTATCACTGAAGACTTATATAAGTTCAATATTATGTCATTTGGACATACAAATATACCAGCAACTTTTTAATGACTAATGAATAAAGTATTCAAAAATCAGTTAAACAAATTTGTAGTCATATATTTAGATAACACAAATATATTTTCAACAACATTTAAAGATCACTTAATTTATTTAAAAATTGTTTTTGACAAATTAAGACAAAGTGAATTAAAACTATAATCTGACAAATATTATTTTAGAAAAACTTCTTTAGCATTTCTTGAATATGTAATTAGCAAAGATAGAATCAAACCAGATCTAGCAAAAATAGCCGCTGTTAAAAATTTTCCAAAATCACACAATTTAACTATATTAAGAGATTTTCTTGGTCTTGTTTCTTATTACTGAAGATTTGTGAAGAACTTTATACAAATAGCCAAACCATTACATTATTTAATGAGAAAAGAACAACCATTTAACTGAACTGAAGAATGTCAAAAAGCATTTAAAGAACTCAAACAACATTTAATATTATCATCAATATCAATATATTCAGATTTTAACAAATCATTCTTACTATATACTGATACTTCTAGCTTTGGACTTGGAGCAATCTTGTCACAAAAAGATGATAATAACAAAGAACATGTAGTTGCTTACACTGTCATGATCAGGCTCCTGGTAGGTGTTATCATGACATGAGTGTTCAACCAATATCTATTGACAGTATTTTTATATGGTTAGCATAATAGTTTAAAATAATTAATTATGGTTAGAGTTCGAAAAAATATTAGAGAACATACAGAAAGACAAGTAGAGTATCAGATAGAAATAGCAACTAAACCTATAGTTACTCAATCTCATCGTAATGAGTATACTTTGGGATTATCATGCAGTGCATTTTCTTCTATCTTGTAGATAGACTATCACTATTACTAATAGATATTATATCTACTTAGTGTGGGACAGTCCTATAACAATACAGTACTGATATTCTATAACAACTTTGGCAGTTATCTAATAGTGCGCAATAAATATAAATATTTTAATAAGTTATTATTTAATCAATTAAATATACAAATTTCATTAACAATAAACAAGAAACAGTTTATTGACTAGCTAGATTTTTGTATTGATCAATTGATACCTTTTTCAAAGCTTCAATTACATTTTATTTATAATAAATATTTTTCACTAATAAATGTTATATTTATGATTAATTATATAAATTGATAAATAATAGATACTATGCAATGATGATAATTATGGTAATTGTTGTAAATGATGGTAATTACGGTAATTGTTGTAAATTATCAAAATTATGAAAGTTATAGAATTTATGAAAATTATAAAAATTATTGAAATTATGGAAATTATAAAAATTATATAAATTTCTAGTCATAACATCATATAATATGTAATTTATATAAATATATCATGTATCTTAGCTTAGAAAAAATAATTAGTAAGTTAAGTTAAGAAGTTTCTTATATTTGTATTGGTTTTTGATCTTAAAAGATAGATTGCTTATAATAAACCATTGTTATTGACTTAAAAGACAATTACTTGATAAACTTATTACTTGTATCATAACTTTTAAAGTTCTAAAATAATACATAAACTTAGTAAAGTTATTGAATATTATTCTAGCTCATCACAACAAGAATATACGTTATCTATCTTTAATAATAAATCTTAGTCTCTCTCACTACAAAAACTTAATCTTTTTTGCTCTCATATTAATAAAACATGTAATTAATATGTCAGAATTTAACATCTATAAAAATGATAACAATATCACAAGTTGTAATTAATTAAGACATCATCTTTAGTTAACACTAATATTTTTATTAATTATTATTATATAAAACTATCTTGTCTATTAATCAAAATTATTCAGCCAATTATTACTTAGTATATGAAGTTTTTTATATAATCTGAATCTGAATTGGATTCAAAATCACATAATATTATTTGACTTTAGTGAATCTTTATTTTTAAAAATTGTAAATTTTCTTGAATTTACGAAATTATTGTTAGTAAAATTGAAAACTTTTATATAGAAAGAAAATTTCATATTCTATTATAATTTAATAAATTTTAATGCTGTTTTATTTCTTTTGCAAATTATTATATATATAATTTTGTATAAATTAATATTTATTAAACTATACATTCATTACACATTATATTTTTGAATTTGGATAAATTATATCAATAATAATTTTGTATTTAATAATATATTATTTTAGATATTATTTTTTATATAAATAATAATATGCTAAATATTTTTAGCATATAAAAGAAATTTGAATAATCAAAAACATCAGAATTCAACAAATTTTGAATTTTTTAAATTTAATTAATATTAATACTATATTCAAAACATTGGGGTAAGGGAAAAAATCTTCACGATAGCTTATATCGAGAAAATATTATATAACATCATTATATTGAGTTGAAGTTTATTAAAAAAAATTCTTCGCCAATTATTATAATTCGAACCGGAATCATTCTGTCTCTGGGGTCAAGGTCACATATAATTTATGTACTATATTTTTTGAAAAATAAATATTTATCTTCGCTTGGAACATACAAACTGACACTTGTAGTACCTAAATAAATTAATTAATTTTAACTAATATGAAATGTTAAAGTGATTTATGTTTAGAAATAAAAAATACCTTAATTGGAATGGATATTTAATGATTAAGATTAATGTTGCCTCTATGACGTACTAGCATCACTTCATCAAAAATTGTGGATCATTAATAACAGAAATAACTTCTTAAAGACAAAGTTTCCTAGTAAATTTTTCAACAATAAACTTTTGTTAACAGGTTTTGCGGTTCCAATACGCAAATAGTTAGATCATGAAAAAAATCGTGTTAATAAAATCCGGACCAACGGCACGGATTGCAAAAGTTACAAAAGCAAAGCAAGATCAAAGTAAATTACAAAAGTACTGGTACAGCTAAACTAACACTGCCATATCAATATTACATTATTAATCTTGGAATAACCAATCACTTAATCTTTTTTTCTTAGCTTGATCATGCCATTGGCTTTTACAACCTATACGAGTCCTTGTTCCAACAATACCAGCCATTCCATCCCATTTTAAATCCGATGTTTGAAGCATACGTTCCAATAACTTTTCCAATAACTCTAATCGCCCTTCACGAGTTTCTTTTTTGTCTTTTATTTCTGGAATACTTGCGATAATATCTGGAATACTTGCGATGACATCTGGAACTCCTGCAGTTGTTTCAGGTAGATTTTTAATTAACACTCCAGTTAATAGCTTCAATCGTTCTTCAAAAGTCCAACGAATTTGTAAGCCCTGAATTCCTTCTGTAATTTCTTGAAGATCTTTATCTAATACAAAGATGACGTTAGAAAACATTGATACAAAAAAAAGCTTTACTAAACATCACATATTACAACGTTTTGGTTACCCACTTGGCGAAACAGGTCCAATAATAACACGGATATTTCCAGAATTACCACTAGCGAAACATTCCTTAGTCAGTTCGTTTTCAACCAGCTTTCTAAGACCCCAGGTTTCATCGTTTCGTAAGGGAGTAACGTTTTTAAACTCGCCTATACGGTCAATAGGTAAGTCGATACTCCACAGTTCGAGTTCGTTAGACGAGATATGGTTAAAGCGTGGCTTTTTCTCCTCTTTAATCAACTTCTTGAGATGATCAATAGTTTTGATCTTATTATAATCGATATCAACCGAGAACGCAGCAGCGTCTTCTTGAAAGAAGCAGAAGAGGGTAAGCATGATTTATGACGGACCCATTATTGAGACAAGTACACATATTTATATTCTCAAATTGATCACCCGACTGAACAGAATTTAATCATACTTAAACTACGTGAGAAAAAATACTACATGCGCAGCCTGTATACATTACGTAATTCACGTCATTTTTAAGCCATCTGATCAAGGACCCGGAAAAAATGGATCCTACACTAATACGTATCGCCGGATCAAGAAAAGAAGTATTCATTTACTTCGGAAAAGGATTTGTATTGGTCCAGGTAACAAGTAACCAATACTTACTTCGGAGTTAAGCGATAGTAAAGTATGACGAACTTCTTTGTATGATCCGACAATATTACTATACAGCGCCAAAACTGCAGATCATATGATGTAATATTGATCTAAATACGTAGTAAGTGAAGGCGCACATCTGGAATGTGTGCCAGGTTTGTGCCGCAGCAATAAAATTACCCAAAAGTTGATATATAGTTAGGGTTAGAGTTAGGGTTAGAGTTAGGGTTAGAGTGGAGGTCAAGGTTATATGTAAAATTGCCTCGCCGACATTTTTTATTAATACTCCAAGTTAGATTTGAACATCCATTTCCCGTATTTTTCAAAAATTCGCACATCCTTATTGGTCTGTGCTACTAGTAAATCGCATTCTTATTGGACTGCGACACACACCTGGCACACATTCCAGAAGACGAAAAAAGAACAAATCATGTGATTCAGATCCTCTCTTATAATGTAAAATATTAAATAGAATTCGATTAGAATTAGATTTAGATTTAGAGTTAAGATTATTATATAACAAATGGGAATATAATATATATATATAATGAAATTTCACAAGAAATATTTTTTATTAAGAATAAATCTAATTGTAACTATTATTACATGTAATAATTTCAATATTATCCAATTATATATTTAGAATTTCAATTCTAATTCTAACTCAGATTCTAATTAGTTAATTAAAATAGTTATTACAATAACAGTTATTATAAATATATTTATTAAAGCACAAAAAATAGTTTCATAAACAAAATTTTAAAATACAAGTTATTTATTTATTTTTGAATTTTTGTATAGTATATTAATTTTAGTATATAATTTTAAGAAAAATATCAAATAGTTAATATTAAAATTGGAATCATATAATTTATTTTTTTATCTTTATTTTAATACTTAATTTGATAAATTAAATATATTTATGTTTTATATAATTTATTACTTTATATATAAAAAATAATATTTTTTATATAATATTTAATTTTTTTTATTAAATAAATTTAATAAACAAAAAATTAAATTAAATAAATATAATTATAATATCAAAAATATATATTTTAATAAATAGAATTTATAATTTATTATATAATTTGAACAAAATTAGAGTCATATTAAAATCATATTAGAATTATATTAAAATTATAAAAATTTTTTTATAATATTTTTTATTAAAATTTTATTACAAATAAAATATTGATATTACATTAAATAAATTAGATAAATTAATAATCGAAGATTAATAATCAAAATTAAATAAATTAATAATTAGAAATTAAGAATTAATAAAATATAATAACTAATAATTAATAAAAATTGTATAAAGTAATTGATAATTTATAATATCACTAGATATAAATAAAAGATAATTAAAAATAAATAAATATAGTAGCATTCATAAGTATCTGAATGTTCCTAACTTTTTATAGATTATGCATATTATCCTAAAAATTTCTGAAAACAAAGAATAATACAAATGCTATTCATTTATATCTTTTAAAATTGATATAATTTCTACATCAGTAATATTTTATATTCATAAACTTTCATGCTCTAAATATAATAAAACGATCACTTAGGATGTAAGATTTAGATGTTTAGTGATTAGATTTGAGTGAAAATACTATCATTGACTCATTTAATCGAATGATGGTATTTGTATTTGAATTTGATTACTGGGTATCAAGATATTACATCCTAAAGAGACTGTTTTATTTTTTAATAATCAATTTCAAATGAAAAATAATTGTTAAAAAAATGAAACAGTCTCTTTAGAACATAATATCTCATCATCCAGTAATCAAATTCGAATACAAATACTATTATTTAATTTATCTCAACTAAATAAGTTAAATGATAGTATTTTCACTCAAATTTAATCACTAGACATTTAAATCTTATATCCTAAAGTGACTATTTTATTTTTGTTAATATTAAAAAAATGAATTTGACATAATATTTCAACGTCTAGTGATCAGATTCAAACAAAATACTATTATTTGATTCATCTCAACTAGACAAATCAAATGGCATTATTTTTGTTCAAATTCAAGCACTGAATATCAATGATTAGATTATTAGATATTGAGATATGTGTTTTAAAATTTGTGATATAAAATTTTAATGAATATAAAACATACAATATAGAAGTTCTACCAACTTTAAAAGAAGTAAATGATCAATATTTATATTATTCTTTGTTTTTAAAATAATATACATAATTTATAAAAAATTAGGGATGTTCAGATATTTATGACTATTACTGTAAATGGATAAATAAATGTTTATAAATAAAAATTAATTAAATATCACTTGGAATCTGATGATATCTTATATTAGATGATCAAGAAAAATAGTGAATAATGACAATATATATATAACAGAATATAATTTTTTTATAACAATATAAATTATATGCAATTTATATTAATCAATCATTAAATATCAAGTTTTAAAATGCCAATTATTTATATAACTTATTACAAAAATATGTTTCAGATCAAATGTTCATATTATACTTAGAAATTTTTTTTAGTTTTATTAATATCTGAATAGCAGATTTCATTGCTTTGTAAGTGACAGGATCTCCATGAAAGTCATTATTTATTTATTAACTCAAACAAAAGTCATTGCTCACTTTTGAAATAATTATCAAAATATATTGTAATCAGTTATAATTTCAAAGTTGAAAATATTGTATTCTTGTTATGTCTTGTTTTTTTGAGACATTATAAAATTAATTGCCAAGAAATTGTAATGACTGTGACAAAAATTATGTTATTTTTTTTTGTTCTCTATTTTCAACTATTAGAAGTATAAAACGAAATTCGCAGAATAAGCCACGAAGCAAAAAATTTAAATAGTAACTGCTTTCATAAAATCATGTTATTATAAATTCTGATATATTATCGAATTAGGAATACAATCCAATTCAATTGGACAAATACAGAAAAAAATATACTAAAAAAATAAAAAGCATTGAACGATAATAATAAATAAGAGATCAAAAATAGTAACCTCCCTATAAATTACAAAACACAAATTTGTCAATCACTACCCATTAATCTGTCTCGGCATCAACTGTAGCGGTTGATTTGTTGCTTGATTTATGTGCAGTGCCCTTTGCTTTTCGATCACGTTGATAAAATTCTTGCAAGATTTTTTGTGGTATACGATTTAGCATCTCCTTTGGGAATATACGTAAAATGGACCAAGCAAGATCTAGTCCCTCATAAATGGTTCTAGACTCATATGGACCTGTGTACCATCATAAATAATAAAAAATTAAAAGAATATCCCATGAATTGAATTACGCAATAATTAACAAGATTAGTTTAAAGATTAAGTGATAGCTAATATATTATACCTTGTGCTATATAAGATTTTTCGAATTTTTCCAAAAACTCCAAAGAAAGTTTGTCTTCTTGATTCAAAGCTTCCTCACCAACTACAGCTTTCATAGCAGCCGCGTCTCTCCCGATAGCATATTTAGCATACTGTATAAAAATTAGCAAATTCATATATTCAATCTCTTTTTATTACATAAAAGACTTCACTCACCAATTGATTAGAAACATCTGAATGGTCTTTCCTAGTCATGCCTTCACCAATAGCAGATTTCATTAGACGGGATAAAGATGGTAAGACATTGATAGGTGGATATATTTGACGATTATGTAATTGTCGATCTATGAATATTTGCCCTTCTGTAATGTATCCTGTCAAATCGGGAATTGGATGGGTAATATCTATAACCAAAAAATAACAAAAAAGATTGTTATTAGCGGCTTAAATCACATAATTACTATCAATCTATTTGGAAATTCTGCCGATAAAAAATCTTACCATCGTTAGGCATCGTTAAAATGGGAATTTGTGTTATACTTCCATTCCTGCCTTCAACACGCCCAGCTCTTTCGTATATTGTGGATAAATCTGTGTACATATAACCTGGGTAGCCACGACGTCCAGGTACTTCTTCTCGTGCTGCAGAAACCTATTTAATATTATTACGTTAAGTTATTATTTAATTGTATCAAATAAGTTTCAAAAGAAAAAGAATAAAGAAATTTACTTCACGCAAAGCATCAGCATATGAACTCATATCAGTCAAAATAACGAGAACATGCTTCTCAAGTTGATAGGCATAATACTCGGCTGTAGTCAATGCTAGACGAGGTGTAATAATACGTTCAATACTAATAAAAAATTAAGTTTATATAGCGAGAATTTTGAATTTCATAATATTTCATATAACAAAAGAATAATAAATAAAAATGCTTACGTTGGATCGTTAGCTAAGTTTAAAAACAGAGTAACACGCTCAATTGATCCATTTTCTTCGAAATCTTGTTTAAAGTAACGCGCCGTTTCCATATTAACACCCATCGCAGCAAATACAATAGAAAAATTATCCTCATGATCATCATATATTCCCTTATCGACCTTTTTGACAAGACCTGCTTGACGACAAATCTGAGCGGCAACCTATTGTTTTCGTAGTTAATTAGCAATAAAAATCGATGCAGGAAAAAAGGTCAGTTTGATTAGTTGTTTCTAATAAGTATTTGGTTCTAGTTTCGAACCTTACTTCGTTATGCGGTAAACCAGATGCCGAAAAAATTGGTATTTTTTGCCCTCGAGCAATAGAGTTCATGGTGTCAATAGCAGAAATACCAGTTTGTATCATTTCCTCGGGATAGATACGTGAATATGGATTAATCGGGGAGCCTGTGAGACAATTAATAATGTACAAAATTAAAATAATATTCTAATCCTTGAGTTTATAATGAACAGAACTATCGCAAAACTTTTAAATATATATTTTACATGCCATTTATATCAAGAAAATCTTCAGCGAAAACCTTTGGACCTTTATCAATAGCTTTTCCCGATCCATTAAAAATTCGACCTAACATATCTTCAGAAACTGGAATTCGAAGCGTATCGCCGGTAAATTCAACGTGAGTCGCTTTTGAATCTATGCCCGGAGTGCCTTCAAAAACCTTAACGATAAAAAATAGTAATAAACACGTTAAATGTCACAATTTCTTTCTAATCTCATTTATATTCGAGTAAATAGTCGAAAAATGTAAATGATCTAAAAATAAATATACCTGCACAATCGCTCTTTTACCCTGAACTTCAAGAACTTGTCCAGCGCGTCGCGATCCATCGGGTAAAGTTAAATTTACAATTTCTGCAAATTTAGGGAACTTTATATATCACATCCATATTTAATTTAGTAAGAGTTTATTTGAGTTTTATTTTAAAACCAAATTTGCATTGTTTAAAGCTAACCTTGACATGGTCTAAAACTACAAGTGGCCCATTTACACTGGAAACAGTTCGATAATCTAGTGAAGAAAATTTCAGCACATTAAAAGTTTTATTTAATTTTGTTAAAAAAATTACGAATGACCGTTTTCCAAACCCAGAACCTTTTCAATATATGCCAACACCATTCAACAGCTAAAAAAATTCATACCTATACGAGGTTTACAAACATAATTTCTGGTGGCAGCACTAGCATTCAATTTAAATGCGTCTATCGAATCAAGTACTTTATTACTACTCATATCAAAAAAAGACGTGCAGCGGAAAAGATAAAAGATATAACTTTTGAAGATATCTTTATCAAAAGCTTTAGATGAAAGACTCTGATTGGTCAAAATTTGATAATATGTGATGTGTGATGTAAGGGTTTAAATAATGAGATAATCAAAGAATTTACATCATATGTACATAGTAAAAGTTTGTACAAAAAAAGAAATTATTAATAATCAGATTTACCACTACTTGTTTTTCGAAGATGCCCTCATTTAATCCACAACTAGTTCTAAGCAGTATTTTTCTCGGGGTTGGTGTTTGGGCTATAATAAAACCAAAACATGTAGTAAGACACACTTTTCATCGTTCAATTATGACTACGGACTCGTTACTAATTACACGATGTCTTGGAGGTAATTAGATTTCAAAAATTCTAGCTTAATTCTTCAAATTTGCAGAGCTACGAGTTTTGCTTTAACTAAAAAATCTAATGACTTGTTATTAGCTCAAGCAATGCTTTGCGGGATTGCGTTAAAGACTGCCAAATTAACACGTCAAACTTATATCTGGTTTGGCATCTTCGGAAGTGCGCCGTTCCTTTACATTGACTTATATTATTTTTTTATTGATCCCACTTTCACTAAGTATATCTTTTTGGATCTGTTGGGAAATGTCTTTCTCGTTGGAGCTTGTTATTTGGGTGCGAAGCAATTGAAATAATAGGTTATTGTTGGGATTTAGGGTTAGGAGTAAGAAAATTTGAACAGTTAAATTTATAATCTTAGCAACCGAAAATTAGTAGAATTATATATATATCGATACGTGTATAGTTTATATATATATTTTGAATAAAGACGACCTTGTCGTCATCAGAATTTGTCATGATGTATGTTGACAAAATTTCCGATTGGTTACCAAACAAAACACGTGGTCACAATTTCTTTAGTACGACAAGTACAAGGGCGATTCTGTAATAATGCGTCAATAGAGCAAAAAGCCCATCACCATCAGAATAGATTGAACGAATGAACGGTAAAACGCCTAATAAAAAAATCTTTTGAGGATTAGAGAAAAAACACTTATATCTGTTAAATAACCATAATCATCTTATAATGTTTAATTAAATCGCGTCGAAAGTTAACGTTAATGCAAAACGACAACTAAAAAACTTTAATAGATGCAGGTAGATCAAGAGTTGAGAATAGGAAAAATCTTAACCAATTATGGCATAGAGCACAACCACATGGGTGAGTGTGGGCGCGAAAATTGGGCGTAAACAATTATAATTTATTAAATTTATTATTTATTTATAAGTGAAATAATTTTTTTATTAAGTACTACGTAGATTTTGCCAAATGATATAAATAAAAACGATGTTCCCACAAACATTTTTTTGTATCTGGGTTTTTTCGAAGTGATAATATTCTCCGTTGAGAAAACAAATAAAGACCAAATCTCGAGTTTTACCTCCATTTATATTATAAAGACCAAATCTCGTGTTTTGTTGAAATTCTTACTGTGACGAGTAATTTAACCTGTTTCTCAAACACCTTAATAACGGTGTGAAAAGCAATCACTAGCCAGACATATAAAACAGTAATAAGTAGTAGTACTACATTACAGTAGTAATTCAATGAAGTTTGGCCACCACCTGAGAACCTCACTATATCCAGAGTGGACCTTTTATTATCTTGCATATGACGATCTAAAACGTGAACTCAAAGTTCGCACACGTAACAAGAGAAGTTGGACCGAGGAGGATGAGGTGAAGTTTGTAGAATTACTCGAAAAAGAACTCGACAAAGTTTTTACATTTCAAACAGTGAAATCGGGTGAGATAAATCGGCGAATTCAATACTCTGAAAAAGAGATTAGCGATATAACGCAATCGAAAACCGTGACTGAAGATGTTTATATCGCGTTAGAGCAAGAGCTGTCTATGATTATCGCCGATGTGCATGATCTCGCAAAGTTTACCCGTTTGAATTATACAGGTTTTCTAAAGATTATAAAGAAACATGACGTGAGTATTTTCACTACTACTATGTATTAGTAATATGAAAAATACAATTAAACAAATAATCTGTCGTTCTTATTATCATAAATTTTTTCCATATCAAGAAACAAACAAAATGGGTTCTAAAGCCAATGTACTTGGCGCGTCTAAATCAAAAACCATTTTATAAAGAAAACTATGATGCACTGATTGTCAAACTTTCACGTCTTTATGACATTGTTCGAACACGCGGGAAACCTGTAAAAGGAAACGCGGCGGCTGGTGGATCGCAACAAAACTTTGTTCGTAACACTCGGAAATATTGGGTTCATCCAGATAACATCACTGAACTGAAACTCTTGATCCTAAAACATCTCCCTGTACTCGTATTTAATGCCAATAAAGAATTCGAACCTGCTGATTCGGCAATCTCGTCAATTTATTTCGATAATGATGATTTTGAATTGTATCTTGGTCGTCTGGAAAAGACCGAGGGTGCGGAAGCAATACGATTGCGGTGGTATGGTGACATGGATAATCGCGAAATCTTTGTTGAACGTAAAACGCATCGAGAAGATTGGACTGGGGAGAAATCAGTGAAAGCGAGATTTCCAATCAAAGGAAAATATGTCAATAAATATCTTCGTGGAGAGTATTCGATGGATAAAGCTCTGCAAAAACTAAAAACTAAAAAGGGAAAGGGAGATAAAGAGATTGAGAGTTTATCACGTTTAGCCAATGAGATCCAATACACGACTATTACTAAAAAATTGAAACCAGGTAGTTTTTCATAAACTATTATATCGATTTATGTATTGCACGCATCCTTAACTAAATTATTTTTACTTTATAAATAGTTCTTCGTACGTTTTATAATCGTACAGCTTTTCAATTACCTGGTGACGCTCGTGTACGTATATCACTCGACACTGAACTTACTATGATACGTGAAGATAATTTTGAGGGTCTCTCCAATAATCGTTCAGGAAATAATTGGCGAAGAACTGATATTGGAATCGATTATCCATTTGATCAACTCCCAGAGGGAGACATCACAAGATTCCCGTATGCTGTGCTGGAAGTGAAATTACAAACTCAATCTGGTCAAGAACCACCACAATGGGTTCAAGAGCTAAAGGATAGTCATTTGGTAAGATATGCAGCATACTTGCTTATGATAATTAACATTACAATATACGTGTGTATTTTGACATTAACATTTTATGTGTTCATTATCATAAAAGGTTGAAGAAGTCCACAAGTTTTCTAAGTTTATTCATGGCGTAGCCACTTTAATGGAAAATCGCCGTATTCAACTTTTACCATTCTGGCTCGCTCAAATGGATACTGATATACGTAAACCGCAAAGCAGATTTCGTATTCAACGTCCAGGCTTATCTTCCGATGGAGGAGTAACTACGCCTGCCATAGAATCAACGAAACATTTAGGTTATGATGACGAAGGAAAGATTGAAGTAGTCACAGAGGAACCAAGTGAAGGAACACCTCTATTTGCGCGAGACGGACGTCACGAGCCATCAACATCATATCAAAACGGGGGCATGGCATCACAATCCAAACTTTTCACATATTCACCCATGCCAATTAACGCTGAATACAAAGGAAAACGTGTAGCTGTGCCTGTACGCATAGAACCAAAAGTGTACTTCGCAAACGAGAGAACATTTCTCTCGTGGTTGAATTTCTCGGTTATTCTTGGTGGTCTAGCAGTCGGATTACTAAACTTTGGTGATAAAATCGCACGGATCGCTGCTGGAATGTTCACCAGCGTAGCATTAATGATAATGATGTACGCGTTATGGACCTACCATTGGCGTGCTAGACGGATTCGCAACAAGGAACCAGGACCATATGATGATCGTGTTGGTCCTACGATACTTTGTGGTGCATTACTGATAGCAGTTGTAGTCAATTTTTATCTACGGTTTATGGTGGCTGAATAATTTCTGGAGGGTGAATGATATTTTATAATAATTGTAATATTAATGGAAAAAAAGTGCAAAAATTACATTGTGTGAGAAACATAGTGGCTATACGTGTAAAAAAAGCGTGGGATAGATAATTTTGATTCATACTATTATTTCTTGTAACAACTCATTATGGAATTTTAAATATTTTATATCATGGTTACTAACACTTCACCGTGAAAAAATTTACCGATATTTTTGATGGCTAGTGATAACTATAACAAAATTTTTGGGTTTTCATAACCCGGCCGGGTCATCGAAACCAGTTTATTTAAATTTTGAGGCGCAGTCTAATATTCTATTGTAAAAAGCATCAAATAAGTTTATTTTAGCCTGGTAACTTCAGGACGCGATATTTCGCGATTCAGTAAACGGATCGAAGCGATCCAACTATTATTAGATTTTTCATAACTAGACAAATTGAATAATGGTTAGATCGCGAGATATCGTGTCCCGGACTAAAAAAATAATCGATTTCGATTTTATATATATCTATAAATCTATAAATAAATTTTTTGACTTTAAAAATAAAAAGCCGGGTCATTTTACATATGAAAACCAAAAAATTTTGTGTGAAATTTTATTTGTTTATATGTCTATCTAATTTGATAAATGAAATTGAAGATTGAATGCTAAATCAGGTACAAATACATTATTATTTTGTAAAATTGAGTACGTTTTTCATTCACAAAAGCTCAATTAGAATATTTAAGAGTAGATTTTTTGTTTTATAGAATTGAATGGCAAAATACAGTCGACTCTCTATAAAGAACCTCTTTATAACGAACTCTGGATATAACGAACCTTAAATTTTTAAATTTTATATTAATTCGTTATAGAAAGAGTAGTAGGTCTATAGAAAACATAGTGATTTATATAACGAACTTTTTTTTACTAACAGAACCATCAGTTCGTTATAGAGAGAGTTGACTATTAGTTTTACCGAACCAATGTCCAAATTTGGAGAACATTAAAACAAGGTAGTGAATTAAGAATTAAGTCAACTTGGATAATCTTATAATTATCCTAATTGACTTAATACACATGATCTATATCTGGCTGAATTCTGCATAACACTTGCTATCAAAACAAAAATATATTTGGCCCAGCAAAATTCTGGTTGGAATTTTCATCAATGAAACAATAACATTTATTAGTATGAAATCAAATTGGAAATTGATTAGAATTTAAAGAAATTTGTAATATTAGCAAATAATAATCAAATTTATTTTTAATAATTAATAATTTATATAATTGATTTTCAATTTGATTTTATATAAAGTTTTCTAAGTGTGAGTATTTGGTATTTTTTTTATTAATAAATATTTTGATTTTTTTTATTTATTGGTGTTATTATAATATATTTTATTATTTGTATTTTTATTAAATATTATATTATCATATTCTTATTGATTATTTTATATTTTTATTAGTTTATAATTATTTATATTTTTATTGTATATTATTTTTGATTTATTATTTATTATATTATATTTTTTTATTGCTGTAGTGTAGTATTTATTATATTATATTATAATTATTAATTAATATAATATAGTGCTTCAATTGGATCAGATCCAATTCGTAACTCAATTTGGAATACACATTTTGAATTAGATTAAATTAGAATCAAATCTGATCCGAAATAATTCAGATTAATCTAAAAATCATTATTTTTCATTCAATATTAATTGAAATTAAATGAAAATTTGTGAATATATATACAATTATATCAAAATACAAGTATATTAGTAAAAATAAAAGTTATTAATAATCTAATCTAAAATTATTAGTTCAAATTAATCTCAAATTGATCTGATTTAATCTGAATAGAGCTTTAGTATAATAATTAAATTAATAAAAAAAATAAATTAACAAAAGAAAAAATAAAATAAGAGATCTTTTAGTATTATTAATAATTTCAATAAAATTAATATTTGATGATTGATTAATAATTCTTTTTATTTTTTTTAAGAATATCCAGGATATAGTATTATTGATGAAATTACTATCAATAATAATATTTACTGATTGTTTTTTTACAATATATAGCATCTTCTAATTTAATATAAAATTTATCTTTAACTTTATTTTTTTCAATTTTTATATTTTTATTAAAAGTAAGTGCAATGTTTGCTTATAAGAAGAGTTTTATTTAGTTATAACACATTTTCTAAGAGTATCTTTTTATAATTTAAATATTATTCAATTTCTTTATTATTATTATTATTATTATTATTATTATTATTATTATTATTATTATTATTATTATTATTATTGAATTGATTAATTGTTAATTTTTGTAACTATGATATAATTATAGCTAGTATTTCAGTATTATTGAAAATTATATTGTTATCTTATTAATTAATATCTAAATTTCTTGGTTATGAGCACCATTTATTATCTTTTCTTTCATTATATTCAACTACACAATGTCCAATTTTGTTATAATAGTTACTATTTGATTATTATCTTGATTTAATATTGTTTTAGAGTAATTTTTTTAATATAATCTTTTTTATTATAATAATTGCATATTATATTTCAATTATTATTATTATTTATTTATGCTATTATTTATTAATGCTTTAGTGTAGTCATATTCTAAGTCTAAAGCTAATTTAACTTATAAAATAAGGATTACAAATTACAAGATAAGATAAAGAGCCACCAGAAATTTTATATAAAAGATCATGATATAACTAATTATTCAGGTAATACTCATAATTAACTAAAGCCTAATGAATTAATGAATAAGTCATTTTCTACTTAAAGAGAATGAATTAAGAAAGTTATATTATCTTCTTGAATATTGACGAGATCTTCATTAGAATATTGATTGTTAGTGTGATATGAAGTAGAAATTTGCATTTGCAAAGATCTGGTTCCATATATATTTTGTAAATATTATTGATTAAAGAAGTAATTGTTATATTAATGAGGTGACCTGTACATTTTTTGGAAGAGCATTTATGTTTTGTGAATATGGAGTTGAATCTTTCAAATTCAATTTGATTTTTGTAACGAACAAGTCAAATTTGGATAAAGCCTTATTTGATGAACCAAATTGTGAATTTGGCAAAGATTGGATACATGTGAAGTAAAAATATTGAGTGATTTGAAAAATCAGTGAGTTCTTTGATAGCAAATCCTTTAAAAATATATATATAGTCTGGCTTACTACTTATACCAAATAAAAATAAGATGTTATTAAGAAAATATGAATGTTTGTAAAAATTATTGATGACTGAGTCTAAGAAAAATATGATTGATTGATCATATTGAGAGAAGTAGTAGGATTTAAGAATTTTTTCTAATTTCATGATAAATTAATGTAAATAGATTTGATAGTATTTTGGAAGTTAGAACATGTTCATAAGTAATTAATAGATGACATCAATTGCAAATATTGTGCAGATATAAAAAGAATTTGAATTTGTGAAGATTATATAAGATTGAAAATAAGTTGTAAGAGAGTTTTGTGAAATAGATATAAAATTTTGAAGCTTTTGAATTTGTTGTTATAGAGTGAATTTCATAGTCTTGATTTCATATTAGATTAGTGACTTTTCAGTTAACAGTATACCAGACACTATGATCAAATAAGTTGTTTTTTAATATATGATGTTGCTATTTGAAGATTATGTGCTTTTTGTCTTGAAATTTTAGAAAGTTATGAAGATTGATAATAATTGATAATTCGCTATTAAATACAGGAACATATTTGATTTGTTGAGATAATGTGTAAAGGATTTGCTATTTTTACAAGAGAATCAGCAAGATCATTATCTAAATTATTGGAATGATCAAGAACTTTGTGAAGAGAAATTTGAAGGCATTTTTGAGTAATATTATAATTAATTATTTTCTATAAATTCCAATTACTATTTTGTAATAATCATCTAATGTTATTGTTATTGTGATGGAATATGTTATAATTGAAGTCATTAATGATGACCTGACTGTTGGTATATACATATTGTTGGATACTATTTCTGTAAGAGTGCAAATAACTTGAATTTCAGTTGTGATTGTTGATGAAGCTTGTAGATTTAAATATGCAAATTGAATATTGGATAACCAGGTGATCCATGCTGAGTTGGCTTTGATTTATAATATTTGCATATTATAAATTGAGCTATCTGAGTAAATATTTAGATATTGAATAGATGATAATTTGTTTGTTGTGATAAAATAGAAATTGATATTAGTTTGAAATATTTGAAAATATGTGAATACAGATAATAAGTTGAATTATAAAAGTGTAATTTGTTGAAAACCTGTTCTAATTTGCAATTTTTGTGATAGAAATAAATTATTTTGGATGGTATCAAGTTCTAGCTACTTGAATCAAGCAAATGTGAAGTCATATTTATTTGTGTAATAATGAGATTTGTATTGATACTATGTAATAAGATGAGTTTTATTATAATTGATTAGTTGTTGAAGAGAAATTACATGATCTTTTTGAAGAATATTTCTGTATTTTTGGTAAATGGATCATGGATGAAGAAAGTTTTTTATAAATCAAAGTATATTAAAACAGCTCAGAGAAAGTTGTCATTGTTAGGGAATGTGAATAAAATATTTTATTCATATATTAAAGAAAGAATAGATACTATGAGATTGTGATCAGATGGAGTTGGTTCTGGTATTAGATAAGAAAGAACTGAGTAGTGAAGCCAATGTTGTTTTTGAAGACTTTGAAGATGTATCAGGATGATAGTATCAAGTATAGTAAAATCATTAAGCTAATAATAAAGCTCAGTGATTTTTAAATGACTTTGAATTATCTATAAGTGATCTAAAGCAAAAAGTTTTGAATGATAAAGTACTGAGTTCAGAAATGATTATGATAGTTTGGCTTTAATTTTTATGACTTTTTTAAATTGCTGTATGAATTTTTCACATTTAGTTTTTGAAACTGTGAATAGTTGAGATTAATATTTGAAGGCTGAGATAAATATGAGCAGCAGGGAGCATGAGCAGACTTTTCTTTTTTTTTAGAATTTTTTTTCGTATTATTTTTATACATCAATTCACAAGTATTTTACTTAAAATCATCAAAATTGATAGTATTTTTGATATATATTAGAAATCAATACCCAGAAACACACTCTAAATGCAATGTTTTTTTCTTTTTTAAACTGGCATCTAGAAGTTCAAGAACTATAATTTGTTTTTTTGACAGAGCAAAGTAATTTAAAACTTGAGAATTATAATTTGCTTCCTTGATTAGAAATCTATCTAAAACTCTTAAATTATATAATATATTTTCTTAATAAAGCAAAGTGATTTAAAACTTAAAATATTAATATATAATTTGTTTTCTTAATAAAAAAAATGCTTAAAATATTTAAGTTTTATAACTTGATTTCTTGATTCAGAAATTGATATCCAGAACATGCTTTAGAAAAAATATTTTTTTTTATAGTTAATTCACAAGTTCATTGTCACATTTAGGTATCTATAATCTATAAAAAATATGATGACGAATTTGTATTCACGTCATCACACTTGGATACTCCACAATTTATAAAAAAATATGATGACAAACTGATTTCTATCATTGATTATCATTCTTGATCTGGTTAAAGTGAGATTAAATGTTTGCATATCCAGTTAGAAAAATATTGTTTGACTGTGTTTTTAATAATTTCTGGATAATCTGAAAGATTATGAGAAGTGTACTTTGTCAATAATAATTTTTTAATATTGTTTTTCAAGAATATTTGAAAGTATTAATATGTATTGATTGCCAAATCTTTTGATGTTGTTTTGAATTGCTAAGTTAATTTGAAAGTTCTTATGTTGTTTGGATATTATAATTTTTTGAGTTCTGAGTTATACCTTAAATTGTTTAAAATTATTTAAATAGAGAGAGTATAGACACTTGTGAATTCTAGTTAATATTGTTTTGTTAAAATGATGAGCACAATTTGTTAAATTGAGTGAGATTAGAATTTATGAAGTTAATAGAATTGTTAGATATTAAAGTGAATAATGATGTGATTAGTGATAAAATCTAAATAATAAGTTTGAGTTGTTTGTTGATAAAGATAAAATATTTTGGTGATTATGGTGTGTGATTTAGCTATTTTTTTTCAAAAATTCATTGACTACTTCTAGAATGATTTGTTTGATGTATAGTCATAATATGTTGATGTTATTTGCTGAAAATACAAATAATGTTACACTTAGAGTTTCTGTAAGATCATGATATTTTTGTCATGTTTCATCTGATAGATTTTGAATTATAAAGACATATTGTTTGGTTTTTTATTTTTTTAGAATGTGTGTGGATGTGTGATGTATTATTGATATTGATGAAAGATCGTAGAAGACTGATTAATAATAAGTTATGATCCAGTGAGAATCTGAAATTGCTACGTGAATTAAAAGTATTGCTAATTTTGGGAAGCACCATATTATATCTAGTTTTCAATTAGTATTTTGGTATTTCCAAGTGTAATTATCTCTTTGTGGATGAATGATATAGATTATTTTATAAAAGTCTTTGAATGTGAGTAGATTAATAATTCCATTTTTTGGAGATCAAAAAAGTATTTATTAAAGTTACTAAGAATTATATAATAATCTGATAGTGTCAGAGTGGAATTAATTTTTTTTTATTTGTTTGTTGTTTGAAAGAAAAAATAACAAGCAAGTATATGTATAGTGATGTTTCTGAGAAGGTGAATATTAAATAAATGAGTCTATCAATAATATTATGAACTTTTTGGATGTATTTGGCCCATTCTTGTTTGATAAAAATACTAATACCAGAATCAAATAGATGTTAATTATTGATGGTAAATATGTGATGATATTGATTGAACTTTAGAAAAGAGAATTTAGCTGAATGATTTTTAAGTTTTGTTTCAATAAGACATAGTATATCTATTTGATAATAGTTAAAGAATTGGAGAACATTATCTGTTTTTCCTGGAAAATTTAAACCACGTATGTTGAGTATGCATATTCTCAAAATGTTTGTTATCAATATTATTAAAAGTAGATATATTTACAGTATTTTGTGATGGATGATAATTTATATTAGAAGTTGAGATATCTGAATAATATTGATTTATTATTGTAAACTTGGTAAGTTATAGTATATGTTAATCATATTTTTGTGTGTTTAATTAATATTGTAACTTGTTATTAAGTAATTGAATGTTGAAAGATGGTGAAAATGGTTCAATATTGTTATTAAAGAGTTGGTAATTGTTATTGTTGGATGTGACTATGTTTTTATTGAAAGTAATAGAGATGATGGTTAATTCAAATTGATTAATTTTGAGTATTGTGATTTGTTTATAAAGAATGAGTTATCAATATATACAAGTGATGAATTAATTGTTGGATTTGATTGATTTGGTTAAAATGTATTTGAGTTATTATTATAATTCATTAGAAAAATATAATTCAATTTGGTTTAGATATTCTTGTAAGAATTTTTGTTCATTTCATAAAGATGATAAGTTAGATATAAGATTCTAATTAAAAGATTTGAAATTGTTGATTTTTTTGTTTTTTTCACAATAGTATTTTGAAGAGATAAGTTCATAAATAGTTGAGAGTTTGTTGTTTATGTCTGATAATATAGATATTGTAAGAGTGGTAAATATTGTGAGTAGTTCAAATATTGATAATTTGAAATGAATTAATAATTGAAAATCATTAAAAATTGGTATAATAGAAGTCTGTTTTTGGTTATTGATAATTGTGTTAAGTTTCATTTCTATTGAATTCAATTTGTTTTCTAATAGACTAAGTTTTTTGTTGAAAGTTTTTAAGTCTTGTTTGAGTGTAAGAATTTCATGTAAGTGTTTTTTGAGAGTTAGATTTAATAAAGATTCAGATGTATTTGTTGTTGAATTATCAGTAGATTTGAATTTATCTTTATTAGTTGTGTTAAATTAAAGTAAAACTTTTTTGTAATTAAGAGTTAGTGAAGTGATTATAGATTTGCAATCAGAGATATCACAATTTTTGTAAAACTTGTTTAGTTATAGATATTGACATGCTTTTTTGTTTTTTAATGTGCATGTGATTGTGCTGTGATTGGAGTTAAAGCAAATTCTACATGTTTTTACTATTGATGATTTCTAATAGAGTTTTGAATTGTGGAGAGTGAAATATTATTGCATAATTATAGTCATATAAATTTCATTTTTAAACAAAATTAAAGTAAAATATTGTCAATTATAGTGGATGGGAGAGCAAGGAATAAAGCAAGATTTGGCTTTGATATTTTGTAAAAAATCATTTAGCTCAAAGGCTATTGTTTTATAAGGGAGATTAAGAAGTTTTATTATGTATGCATCACATTTTTTGATATTTTCAAGTTGGTTAATTATTGGAAGAATATGCTGTTACAACTGAAAATTTTCATAATTTTCATAATTTATATAATTTTTATAGCTTTCATAATTTTGATAATTATCACAATTATTGTAATTACTAATAATTACCGTAATTATCATAATTATCACAACTTATATAATATCTATTATTTATTAACTTATATAATTAATTATAAATATAATATTTATTATAAATAAAGTGCAATTGAAGCTTTGAAAAAGGTATCAATTAATCAATACAAAAATCTAGCTAGTCAATAAACTGTTTCTTGTTTATTGTTAATGAAATTTGTATATTTAATTGATTTAAAACAATAATTTATTAAAATACTTGCATTTATTGCACACTATTGGACAATCACCAAGTTGCTATAGAATATCAGTACTGTATTGCTATAGAACTGTCCCACACTAAGTAGACATAATATCTATTAATAATAGTGAGAGTTTATCTATAAGATAGAAGAAAACGTACTATGTGGTAATCCTGAAGTATACTAATTACAATGAGATCAAGTAACCATAAAAATATCATCATTAGATGTTGGTTGAACATCTATATCACAATAACATCTACTAGGAGCCTGATTGTAACAATACCATGGGACCCATTTGAGTATACTGATCTAGAATTAATTAAAAATAATTAAAAATAATTTAAGTTAAAAAAAAGAAGAGCATAAAACTCATCAATATTATCAAAAAAATATGATAACACCCTGGTGATCTATACCAGAGAAGCACAAGACAAGAAACTTGAATTATATCAATAATTTACAGATTGATTTAACTACAAAGAAGAAGAGGGACTTAGAAAACTATTTATCTAATACTTTAACATTCATGTTAATCACCACACAATAGGTGTCCAATTATACTGAAGCATCTGAACATGGCTCCAAATAGAATTAGAGGTTAGGACAAAAGCAATCTTACAAGAAACTAAGCAATATACTAAGGAGTATGAAAACCAAATCTATAACTAGTGTCGAGAGAATTTTGAATTAAAATATGAATTAATGGATGACGAACAAGAGGAATCAGATAAAAATGAAACTTACCAGGCAAATACTGCCTTTATTGAATCAGAAAAGTCTCTAGAACTCCAAGAAGCAGAAAACATCCTATCAGATTCATCCAATGATCAAGAATTGGAAAGCATAATAGTATTTGATTGTAATTAAGGATGCTTGCTGAAATTTAAGAATTTCGGCAACCTGTCAAGCTGAAATTATTAAATACTATTTCGACAAATTAAATTTAATTGTCGAAATGCCGAAATTCAAAGTTATTTCGAAATTTAAAGTTATGTCGAAATTTAAAGTTATGTCGAAATTCAAAGTTATATCAAAATTCAAAGTCATACCAAAATTCAAAGTTATGTTAAAATTCAAAATTATACTAAAATTCAAAATTATATCAAATATAAAATATAAAATAAAAAAATATATTATTATATA